ATAGTAAATGAGGCTACCCTATATGCTTCTTCAATTCCTGGAATGCTTTCTCTCACTCCGCTGTCCATTTGAAACTTTTTTTTCCCTTTACGGTCTCGAAGAATGGTAGGCACCTGTCTGTGGCTCGAGAAATAAACTTGCTAAGTACGGCCACTCACCCTGTCAAGCTCTGAACCTGCCTTATGCTCATTGGGCTTTTCATGTCTAAGAGAGCTTGAATCTTTTCTAGGTTGGCTTCGACACCCCGCTGATTGACTAGAAAACCCAGAAACTTTTCCAAGCTTACTCTAAAAGCACACTTCAGAGGTTTGAGTCTCATTTTGTATTTTCTGAGAATGTCAAACATTTCCCCCACGTGCTCAATGTTACTTTCGGGGACCTTTGATTTGACAAGCATGTCATCGATATACACTTTCATAATTTTTTTTTATTTGCTCGGCGAACATCTTGTTCACCAAAGGCTGGTAGGTCATCTCAACATTCTTCAAGCCAAATGGCATAACCTTGTAACACTAAATCTCTTAATCAGTAATAAATTAGGTGTGTTTTTTATCGGGCTAATACATCAAGATTTGGTTGTATCCCGAGTACGCATCCATGAAGTTGAGTAGTGCATTCCTTGCTGTCGCATCTACTAATTGGTTGATTTGAGGCAACAAAAAGTCGTCTTTAAGACAAACTTTATTCAAATCTATGCAGTCAACGCAAGTCCGCCACTTTCCATTCGACTTTTTTACCAAGACTGGGTTGGCGAGCCAGTCTGAGTAGTTCAATTCCCAAATGAAGTTGATGTTCAAGAGTTTGTCAACTTCATTTTAAGTGCCTTGGAGTACTCTGCATCCATAGATATTCTCTTTTGTCTGATTGGTCGAGCTGCTGGGTCGACGTTCAACCTATGGCACATTACCTCAGGGTTGATCCCCACTATATCTACATGTACCCATGCGAACACATCGAAGTTTTTCTTTAGGAACCCCACTAGACTATTGGCCAATTCTTTGCTCAGACTGCTGCCAATATTTAATATGTGAGTTGAATCTTCCTCGTTGATAGATACTTCTCGCAGCTCTTTTGTTAGCCCTGTTGCAGACTCTTTTTTATGGATGCTAGAATTTATGGTGTCCTCCAAAGGTCTAGGGTTTGGCTCGGACTCGGCTATGACCATGGTTCTCGAGAGTGACCATTTTAGTGCAGCATTAATAGTCTAGTTGTAACATTCTCGAGATTCTTTTCTGCAACTTCTGATCATCATGACCCCACTTGGAGTCAAGAACCTCATTGCTTAGTAGCGTACTGAAGTGACTGCACTCAAATCATCCAGGATCGATCTTCCAAGGATGACATTATAAGTGGTCGGGCGTTCCACTAGTAAGAATTCTGCCATCACCATCCTAATCTTGGGTTCTGCACCCAAGGTCATGGGTAGGTCAATTGTTCCCTTGGGGACCAAGCTATTCCTAGTGAACCCATAAAGCAGCGATAGACATGCCCTTAGATCTCACTCTGTGAACCTCATTTCTCAGAAGGCTCTCAAGATAATGATGTTCCCTGCACTGCCATTATCGACCATTACCATTCGTCCTCTGGTGTTGCCAATCCTTGCAGCGATTACAATCGCATCATGATTATGGCGAGGAGATTCTTCACATTCCTCTAATGTGAATCCTACCACCTCACTCTCTTACCTAGGCCGCTTTGGCAGCTTTTGTTCACAACTCATTACTCGGGGGACCGAGTCTATTCTGGCCTCTCGAGTATATTGTTTGCAGGAGCGCATTGAGCTCCCTGCAATGTTGGGACCCCCGTAGATCATGCCTACCAAAACTTCAGTGTTGGCATTGGTCGAGGCTTGTTGGATTTGGTTATTCCACTCGCCAGTATTTTTGCAAGCTAGCGCCTCATTAACAAACTCTTTTAGGTAGCCCATTCGGATTAGATTCTCAATGGTGTCCTTTAAAGCCTGACACTTGGTGTTTTGCCCAATGTCCTGGTGGTATTGACAATACTTCTACTGATCTCTTTTGCTCGGAGCCCCCCTCATTCTTTATGGAGTCTCTTAGCCTTACAAGAGACTTCATATATATGAGTTATGTCCTGAGTGAGGGGGATGTATTCTGTATACCGCGGGAAAGGTTGCCTTTCCTCATAGTTTTTCGTCTTCTACCTTTTTTGGAACCTATTACAGTCCCAGTCATTGTAGTATTGGCCTGTTCGTTTATCTTATGGGCGATCTTGTCGCCTGTCTAGGGCTCTTTATGGCGAGCTTCTGGCTAAGGCAGCTAGCGAGCTTTCCACTTACTGATGCTTGGCAGCCATCTGATAGAATTTTGCCAAGCTCACATGGTCTTCGCTTTGGAGCTCTTTCCACAGCTTTGTTTGCTGCTTGATGCCTGCAATTAGAAAAGTTTGGATTGACTCTTCAGGAGCATCCATGACCTTTGCCTGCTCGTTTTGGAACCTCATTAAATACGAGGTCAGTGTTTTGTCTCTCTCCTGATGAATGTTGCTCAAGTAGTTGAGTGACATTGCGAACTGTCTCCTTGCTTTGAATTGCTGTAAGTATAGCAAGGAGAATTGTTTCCAAGAACTAATGGAGTTCGCCTTGAGTTTTTTGTACCACCTCTTAGCATCCCCTACCAATGTAACCGTGAAGCAGCGGTACTTTGCCAAGTCACAAACCTGGTGCAGCTCCATTAGGTTGTTGAAAGTCTTGAGGTGGTCTCTGGGATCTCCTTTCCCATTGAACTTACTTTTTGGCGCCTTGAATCCTTGGGGAAGCGAGGTCTAGTGAACTTCCTTTGTGAAGGGAGATCTCATTATCTCTTCCGTCACATTGTTCTGGCAGGCTCTTAGATTGTCGAGCATTTTTTGTACCCGATCTAAGTCTTCGTTGTGAGGATTGCCCTGGCTGACTCTATTCAACCTTACCTCGAGCAAGTGAGGTCACAAATCTATTGCTTGTGAGCCCCTTCCATTATGTGCATTGATGTGCGAGGTTGAGTCATGATTGTTGGACTGGTAGGTGTTATCATGCTCGCTAGTACGTTGCTCGCAACGTTGGCTATAACCGAACCGTCGGTCATTACCAGATTGACGCACATGACTCGCCTCACAAGCTTGTGAGGTTTGAGCCTGCCTTGGGCATGGGTTAAAACGACACGCTGACGTTGGGGATACTGCCAGGCAAGTCCAATGTCCCGTGGGCAACCATTACCTTCATTTTTCCACAATATTTGTTTTCCTAGTCGCCTCCCGAGGTTAGTTTGCCTGCAAGACTCACGCTCGTGAGCGGAATGTACTCTGTGATGTCAGGAATGTCGGTCGTCCCTTGGTATCGATGAACCAGATTAGTCGTCGACTAAATTTCGACTTGTTGGGGTGATATCTGTGAAACGTGGCTAGTCAAGGTCCTGGGCATTTGGTTGCTAATTTCTTAACTTAGTCACGTTCTATTGCATCGCTTGTGCAACCATTGTTCTAATCATCTCCACCAGTTGGCTGTCCTCAGGATTTGACATCCCTACCCCTTGGTTATTCACAACCTGTTGCCCTGGCAACACTAGTGGTCAACGCCCAGTGACGTCTTGTTACACTTCACGGTGGGTGGTTTCCACGTTGTCATGGTTTCCAATGGTGGTTTTCAATCTTGTACGCACCATTGTGGGCCTTAAGTGATTAGGTCACTAGAGTTTGTTTGCCGAAAATTCTGAAATTTAGCAAAGGCCCTCCTTCTAATGCCAAAATGTTGATGCAAAAATACAACAACTAGAGCAATCCGATCGACCTTAACGGGACGCAACTTATGTGTGCATGATTACTGGTAACCAGCAATGTTTAAATGGAAAAATACAGTGAAGTAAATGGCACGATGAGTTTTTAAAGCGGTTCGACGAGTTACACTCTTGAGTCTACGTCCATTTTTTTTTATATTTGTTATGAGAGCTTACAATGATAATCTTAGAACAATTTGCTAACCCCTTTCTCATCGTTAGAGGGGTTTTATATATAGATTCTGTACAAAGGAAAGAGCAAAAATAAAAGGATTACAGCCAATATTGAAATGCAACTATGATATTCTTGCAATTAAGCTCTGAGATTCCGCAAAGATTGTTGTCGATCTGATTCCTTTCAAGATATCCGGGATCTAGAGTTATCTGCAAATTAGTTGAACAACTGTAAGGATTGGTCACGACTAGCTTGTGCTAGGTCGAGCTATAACTCGACGAGCTTATGTTAAGTCGAACAACCAATTGAATCGAATAGATTCTGGATTGAGATATAACCTCGCAATTCTCCGAGTTTGACGGAAAAATCACACACAACAAGAAAGAATAATATTATATATATATATATATATTAAGATATATTTCATCATTTTTATATTAAGTATAATTTTACCATATTATTTATTAAATTATCCCTTCAATTACATATTTGTAGAACATAAAATAATCTATGACTTAAAAGTTAAAAGATAGAATTCTGAAATATCTCTTTGAAGGTGCAATATTATTTAACGAGCAGCACTATACTTACAACTTTTTCATACAACCCTTATGTTAATAGCTCGCGGTTAACTCGTAATAAATCTCATGTGTTAAAATAGAAACTAACCGATTGTAAATTGTGATCTCAGGATTATATAAAAAAATTATAAGGGTAAATTTAGTGTTATTCAATTAAATGGTCAAAGTCAAATCTTTTTGAGATCATCAATTTGAGATATTACGTGTTATAAATAAATATTTTACAGATGTTAAGAACTAAAAAAAGTGTTCAGCCTAATAGTAGTTCAGTTGATCAACATGGTCCCAACCAACCACCAGTCTCTGATGAAAGGTTTCAGTTGACCACCTTAAACGCTACGCAACATTAATTCAACTGAGCCATCATCAACTTCATCTTCTTCATCATCCTTCAACACACACGCATCCTTCAATAAAAAATTCATCACATTTAACAACCAAATCCTAAAAATTATTCATGCCAAAAACGAGATCTAATACACAAAAGATTCCATATTTTGATTTCCTTGTGGCAATTACAGTTTTACAAAGATGTACATATCAAAGAAAACACAGAATTCACAAATACAAACCCACTAATACAAAAGATACAAATCGAATCGATCTTTATTAACTAAGCACAAGCACAAGGATTATCAACATCTACAGCAACATCCTCACTGCCACTCCTAAAAACCAAGTATCCAACCGTAAGCCCCACCACGATGGCCAAGAACACACCTCCATTAAACGACATGACCGCCAGCATCAAAAGATACCCCAACCCGGAGTTCACCCCAAACAGCACCGTCCCGGCAATCCTCCCCGCCGATAACTTTCCGGCGACCTTCTTCTGGAGCAGCGGCACCTCAACATCAGCGCGCTTCTTGGCCCCGATCTGGGTGACGCGCACCCGTATATCCTCCAAGTACTGGTAAAAAGCGGAGACGACAAAGCAGGCGAAAAGGGTCAAACCGTAACTGAGCCAAGAATCGGTCCGCCATGAGTCGAATAGGAGGGTGACGGTGCGCCCCCAGTAGAAGGTCATGTGCATCATCTTCGCTTAGTTTGAGAGAGAGAGAGAGAGAGAGAGGGAGGGAAGGAGAGACAGAGTTTCAGGAGAAGTAGCTGAAACCGATGAAAAAGATGCTTATTTTAGAAGTTGTACTATTCGTTGCTTCTGTTTTGTGTAGTACAGTGTACAACTTTTACGGGTTTCTTTTTTTTTTTTGGGGGGGGGGGGGGGGGGGGGCCTGGTTTGGACAATGCCCTCACAAAGTTGTCTTAATTACCGTTTTGGGATCCGGGTTTTCTAACAATCGGATTAAAAATTAGATTTGACTTTAAGACATGATGCCTCCGTTTGGTTCACAATTTTGTGTTTTTGGGAAAAGTTTTTTGAAAAAAGTTAAAAAAAAAGTTGAATTGGGCGGGTATTACGATGTAGGATTTACAAATTATAAAATACCCCCTATGTTTGTTTTTTTACAAAACACCCCTTATAATAAAACATTAAAAGTTAACAAAAACATCCCCAATCCACCCTCAAATACGGACAGCCAGCCACCACTGCTGGAGGGTGGCCGGAGTCACCGTAACAAAAACATTAAAAATATTTAGGGGTATTTAATTGAATTAACAAATTTAGAGGGTTTAAAAAATATTGAATAAAGTTGAATAATATTGTGAGTTTTTGGGTGTTTTACTGTTTAACTTTTTTGAGAATACTAAAAGTTGTATTCCCAAAATCCAACCAAACGAAGCCGATATCATAACAAAATCTTGAGATTTTAAAACATCCCTTATTATTAATAAATTGTTAGTAAATTGTTAAATTTTATACTGTTATAAGGTACAACAATGCTATTATTAATAAATTGTTAGTAAATTGTTAAATTTTATACTGTTATAAGGTACAACAATGCTATTATTAATAAATTGTTAGTAAACTGTTAAATTTTATACTGTTATAAGGTACAACAATGCTACAAACACTGAAAGTTGGGATCGAAATTTTGTACCCATATACGTGACAATTGACTCAGACGTCACCACTTAGGACATAATACAAGAATTTCGTGAATGGACAGTTGTCCAACATTTTTGGACAATTGTCCATATTTTCTGGACGGTCATTCATTCAGGAATAGAAGAGGGTCCAAAAAAAATATTTAAAAATAAATTAAAAATCAATGAATTCTTATACAAATACTAAGGACGGGCGTCCCTTTAATATGGACGACCACTCAAATTATATAGACGATCGTCCAAATAAGCAAACTAGATGGACGCCAGTCCATCTACTGTGGCCATCCGCATGAGATGGACTAGCGTCCATACTTGAGATGGACTGGCGTCCATACTTTTTTTTTTTAAAACATAATTTTAAAATAAAAATACACACAATATGGATGCTAGTCCATCTAGTATGGACGGTCGTCCCTTGTATATAGACAACTATCTGCATGAGATGGACTGGCGTCCATACTTTGTGAAATTTTTTTTTTTAAAATAAAATTCAATAGCTTGTCTAATACTCTTTGCAAATAAGTGCCAAAATTTTATGTGAAATAAGGGGGAAAAAAACTTTCATTTTTATTTGTTTTTCTTCTCTTCTCGTTCATCTACGTGTTGTGTTTTACTTACTCTTTGACGCCGGTTTCTTCCTCAATAGCCAAGCAGCTGCAACTGTTTATGGTTTTTTCACAAGAAAGCCACCCCTTTTTATAGAGATAATCGTTTAGCGTAGAAAGGGAAATAAAGATATCAAACATTTTAAAGCTTAGAAATATTTGTTATGGTAAAGAATTTTTTACTTATTTTATATATTTATTTAGTTTCATATTCTATTTTGGATTGAATATATGTTACAATACAAAATAATTGATAGATAATGTTTGTTGGCGATTGCTGTGAACTAGATTCGTGAACGCAAAAACTAGTATTATTTATACATGAAATTACGGAATATGGAAGAGTTCAGTTTGCCTCGTTTCAATGATGTTGAGGTAAACTGTGTTCGAAACTTTAACTTTGTCGTTAACATGATTTTAAATATGTTGTATCGTATTGTTTCTTATGATGTGTTGTATTAGTACATTCTAATTTTGTTTATTATAAAACCATTAAATCAGGAAAATGAATGTGATGAATTAGAAGATACGGGATGTGCAGAGGAAGAAGTGGAGCCTCATATTGGAATGGTGTTTGATTTAGTTGATAGTTTGGTGAAGTATTACAGAAGGTATGGGGACAAAATGGGTTTTGAAGCAATGATACATACGTCAAAGAAAGGAGATGATAGGGAGATGAGATACGTGACAGTGGCGTGTTCTGGTTCTAGGAATGAGAGAAGTAAATCTAGAAATAACTTGAAAAAGCAACTTGTTGCAAAAACAGATTGTAAGAGTCGGATTAGTGCAGCTTTGAATGGTGAATGCAAATGGGAAATTAAATCAATTGTGCTTGAACATAACCATGATCTTACAAGTCCAACGAAAAGAAGATATTTCAAGGTAAACTGAACGATACAACATTTTGTGAAAAGGAGGCATGAAGTTAAGGACCAGGCTGGGATTAGACCGTGTAAAATTTTTTAGTCATGTTCAGTTGAGGCAGGAGGTGTAGATAATTTGACATTTATACAAAAAGATTGTAGGAACTGCATTGAAAAAGTTAGAAGGCTATGACTTGGAGTTGGAGATGCTTCGGTAGTACTTGGGTATTTTATTAAAATGCAAAAGGAGAATTCAAATTTCTGGTACATGATTGATGTAGATAAAGAGATTCGATTAAAGAATGTGCTATGGGTTGATGCTAGATATAGGGCTGCATATAAAGAATTCGGTGACATTGTGACCCTCGACACAACGTATCTGACGAACAAGTATGATATGCCATTTGCTGTTTTTGTGGGGGTTGATCATCATAGCATTCGACATTGTTAGGTTGTGGGTTAATTTTCCATGAGGACACTGAGACATTTGTATGGCTATTTCGTTCTTGGCTTGAATGCACGTATTTTGCTCCTAATGGAATTATCATTGATCAAGATAAGGCTATGCAAAATGCAACTGAGATTGTTTTCCCCAGTACAAGACATAGGTGGTGTTTGTGGCATAGAATGAAGAAACCACCTGAGAAGTTAAGAGGGTATAAGGAATATGAAACTATAAAATTTACGTTATAAAATATTGTGTATGATTAGTTGACACGTGAAGAGAGAAAGATAGAATGCATGGAGAATGATGCATGTGATACTATAACATGTATATTCATATTTTGCAAAAAAAATAAAAATCAATCAAATTGAAAACAAGTAAGGTATAACTTGTTACCTTAAGTCCTTAGCAATCTTGGAGACTTTTAATTTCAAAAGAAATTAAACAAAAGAGTATCCACACTAAGGTAAAAGAAGAATTAGGCCAAGAGAGACATTTAGGGTTTTTAAAAATTTTTGATCTCTATCCCAAAATTGATATATCATTTTCTTTATTTATGTAGCCTTGTAAACAATTCAATAATTGTTTTAGACTTCTTTAAACAATTCCATAATTGTTTTAGAGTTGTAGATAATTCCACAATTATTATAAAGTTGTTAAACTTCTTTAAATAATAACATTAGATTAACATTTAATCACAATTAACAATTTAACTCTTTTAACCCTTAAATTGTTTACATAACAATTTAACCCTTAAATTATTCATATGTTTACAATTACAACCCATTGTTAAATCCAATTTAATATAAAGAAAATGATTAATTATGAATTGGAATTCCATTTAATTCCAATTAGCAATTTAACTCTTAAATTATTCATAATAACTAATATAACCCTACATTGAATAAAATTCAATGATAATAATATAAATAAATTTATTACCCTTGGTAGGTGCTAGCCAACCTTGGATAATCAACAATATTTGGCTATTTCTCCATTATACTTAATTTTTATGTGTGACATCTTAGGTTCACTGTGGCCTAGCCATGGGCCCAATATCATAGTCTATTCTGATATGTTTTGTCATAACTCTTTATGAACAAAACTCTCACCGATTATGGTAAGCATCTAGCAATGATCCATAACCCCTAAGTCACAATAAAGATATACTCCAACGAACCCTTTTATAATCATACGCACTGTATAATCAAATCCTTCCGTAGTCTAATCCCAATTAAGAATGGATTCATGGTACGTTATGGTACGTCAAAATCCTTATCTTAATTTTATATCAAATTGACAATCAATACATATGGAACATGTCACCATGAAACAACCTTTCAGGTAACATTTTATATAACCCAGCCGAAGATTTCCCTTTTCCAATATATCTTGACATTTGTCTAGGAACTTTATATCAATCTATACCAAGTCAACGTATCCCATCTTGACTATCACTTGATCTCACACATAAACAACACATGGCCAAATCGGCTTATTAACACATGACATGATTAGTCTCGTGTTTATACACCATATAAACCATATGCGTTTATGCAGAATTCAACCATGATATCTCATGTCTAAGGATTAATAATACACTAGTACGATCTTATGATGAATCATTGACTACATTTTAAATGTCTATGTGATTCATCATAAATGGTCATATTCGATGAACAGTTCACTAACTACTTATCCATGTTAATGTCATAGTGATATAACTTTTATAATCACCCACACTAATACCATCACATGATATTCTACGGAGGCATTCAGCATGCCTACTATGTAATATTGTTGCCCAACTAATATTACCTATGTAGGGAATACTTTGATGATTTTGATCTTCTAAATATGTGTATCATCCGGACATTTCACATGTAATACATATATATAAATGAAGCAATAAACCACAAGTGAAATAAGAACACTTTCTTCTATTGATAAGATAAAATGAATATACAAAATATATACATTAACATATATATACAAAACATAATGTCTTGGAACCGACAACATGATTGGTTCCTAAGGCATACACTAACAGCCAGTCCATCTCATGCAGACGGTTGTCCCTATAAAAGGGACGGTCGTCCATACTAGTCCATCTAGTGTGCTTATTTGAACGATCATCTATATAATTTGGATAGTCGTCCATAGTAAAAGGACGCCCGTCCTTAGTATTTGGACGAGAATCCATTGATTTTTAATTTATTTTTAAATATTTTTTCTGGACCGTTGTTCATTC